GAATGTTAAACAAAATCATCTCTATAATATTAAAAGAGAAATACATTTAGCAAAATATCCAAAATTTCTTCTAATATTACTGAAATTGTCATTGCTTTTAAACTAAAGAGATTCAATTGAAAATGATAATTTTGGATATATGCAGTGGCAATTTCAGTAATTATCAGATCAATTTCAGACATTTTTGTAAGTGGATCCGACTGCAGACACGCATATCCTGCGCGACCCGGCTCGATGATCCGAATTCATTAACGGCAAAATTGTAATATTCAACCAAAATAAAAAAACCTTTCGCAGACTTCTTCTTCTTCTTCGAGAGAATTTCATCTCTCTCTCTCTTGATCTCAAGCGATCTCTCTCCATGTAATTATTCAAGCGATTATTCAAGCAAAAATCCTTAATTTTCATGTGATTCTATTGCTTGAACTGTGTATCGATTGAACCATGGGAGGAGGAAGAGTTATGGCGACGGCATCGAAGGTGGCTGGAATTGGAGTCTCGAAAGGAGGATTCAGGGGAGGATTCGGGTTTGCGGCGGCGGCGCCTTCTCCGGCGAGTGAGCAGTTTATGGTCACAAACACCGCCGTGTCTAAGCCGGTTACGGCTTCGATTTCATCGGTGGCTCATCATTCCGTTAATTGCAGTGTGAGGTTGAGATTTTTAATCTTCATCTTCTTGAGTTTGTTTTATTTTCTTGGATATTTGCAGTGTGAGGTTGAGATTTTGAGTAAGATACAACACCCAAATATAATATCCCTCCTGGGTTATAGCACGAATGATACTTCACGATTCATCGTCTATGAGCTGATGCCAAATTTTCTTTGGAATCTCACTAACACGGTACAAAATCGATTTACATATTCTTTTTCGTGAGCAAAGAAATATTGAAACTTTGTGTTCATATACTTCTTCTCAGGATCCTCTCGGGGTTCAGCGAGAACAATCACATGGCCTATGAGGATGAATATTGCTCTTGATATTGCGAGGTGAACATAATTTTTTGTGTTTTGTTTATTGAGAGAAATACACACAAGATTTCACAATCTAGATGACTAAACTATTGTTTCACAACATTTCACAAGTATTATTTTTGTGTTAATTTTCCAATTAGGGGATTAGAATATTTGCATGGACATTGCCATCCAGCGACAATAAACTGGCACTCAATCAGTTCCATGTGTCGAGTTTCGTTTTGTATCTCTTTTGTAGCTTTTTAGATTATGAGGGTGTGTTTTGTGAATGACAAGATTTGTTTGTTCGTTTCAGGAACATTGTTTCAACTGTGAACCTAGATTGTAAGCTCGACCTCAAAGCTATTGCTTTTCAAGCTCGCAATGTTGAGTATAACCCAAATGTTTGTTGTAGTGTGTATCCATGTCGTGAGTATTGTTCTTTGCAGTCGTGAGTATTGTTCCTTTCTCCATGTTGTGATATATTCATTTGCTAAGTATATATTCAGATTTATTTGTAATGTGTTTTGTTGTTGTTTTCACCGGAGTCAAGAGATTCGAATCTGGCGACACGACTAAGCTGAAAATCAACAGGATCTTAAACTCCTCTGGTCAAACGGGTCGATCATGGGGTAATAGGATTGGTGTGATTGGTCTGATCTATGCAGGGATCGAGAGTGGTGTTGTGGCTTGGAACGATAGAGATGATGTTTGGACAAGTGTGGTTACTGGTCTTGGAACTAGAACTGTGTTTAGAGCGGCGAGAGGAGTGAGATCCGCGGCTGTGGCTGGTGCTCTTGGTGATTTAGCAGCTGGAGCTGTGGTTGCAGACGTTGCTGCGAAATGTTGTGAGTCTAATTGGAAGACTCTGTTCATTGTTGAAATTTTTGATAGGAAATTGTTGTGATAGGTTTCGTATGTCTTTGGAGTTATAAAAATGGAAAATTTTTCATTGGTTTCTAAAGGTCTATAAATCTCTGTATGTCATAATGCAGATTGAATAATCTGCAAAAAAAAACTTTAGATTTACACTAAAAAACTTTAGATTTACACTGATAAAAAGGTATTCAATTGCCATGCATGTTGCTGATAGTTTCTGTTAAATTATGTTTGATGCTAATATTTGTGATGTATCAGACTTGAGATGTAACACTCTGTTTTTTCTTCCTTTCAAGTATTATTGCTTATCATTTTGTTAACCGGGATGGTTTGGAGTGTTCTTATAATTGTTTTCCTCTG